GCTGGGAAAGACGGTCTGCAGCGCTCAGGGCACATTTGCTGCGAAGAGCGAGCCAGGCTGTGGATGTTACCTTCTTTCTCTGCAAAAAACAGCCCATGCCACCTCCCAGGGTAGTTGTTTAAAGTTTAAACAAGTTTAAAGGAATTTAAATCTGAAGAGATTTGATTGAGAGGTTAAAAAAATCATTGAATAACTTAACGACTGCTGTCCATTTTGGGGTAAAATGAAGGGGTACTGTGTGGTGTAAGCCCCCCTGTCTCCGACAGTACAGGAATAAATCTTGTCCTCATGTCTTAGAAACAGACCAGAATCTCAAGATCCTTTAAAGTTAGCCCAGATCACAGCTGTCCTTCCCCATGAACTGCAGCAAAACCTGTGGGATCTACCCAGAAGAGCAGAGGTGCCAGGACATGACCAGCCCCAGAAGAGATGGAGGCTGCCTTGACAGAGGGCTCCCAGTGCCTCAGAGCAATTTGGGGGTGTCCTAAAATGTTCCCTACAGCTTCAGCTACTCCAGATTTCTGGAGAGAAATCTTCATACAGTATGAGGAAGAACCAGAAAAAGACAAAAGCAGAATGAATCTTCAGACGTTCAAATGGAAAATACATCAATCCCATTAATGACTGTAGGATAAAATATGCAGGAACTTTTTCCTTCCTTCTCCATATCCCAATGACACACATACAGGTGGAGAACCAGTAGTACAGACAACACTTCTGGAAGATGTATGGGAGGGAGGGTCAGAGACCTCTCTGTACTGCACACGCTGGGTGCAGGGTGCTGAGTGCTGTGCCTCCAAGGACTGCACCTTTGGCTCTCTCCTGCAACTACTTTCCATCACAAACTCCTTCCCTGCATTTGACTCAGACCCACTTTTCAACATCCCTGCAACCATAGACATTTTTTCTGATTCCCTGCCAGGTTGCCTGCTATTAAAACAACACTTTGTCGCAGTTGCTTGTTTAGTGGGGGAGAGCAAAACCTCTGTTTAAAGTTGTGGGAAACGGCCCTTTAGCATTCTGTCTGCCTTAAAAGTCTTGCTTTCAGTTTGGAAAGGAACTTAAACTAAAAACCATTGGAAAAGTTATCCAGAAAACACTGACTGTACGTTCAGTTTTGTGATTGTTCCCTCATCCCTCATAATTCTGAACCACAGCTCCATACTAGAGGCTAGAAACACATGGTGGGCATTTTCTCTTTTGCTAGCAGTGGGACAGCA